CTTTTTCTCAAGAACAGAAAAGCCATGATTAGTCAAATTGATATGGAGGCATCTTTGGGTAGTGTAGAATGAAATTTGTTCAAATCATTACCCCGGGGGTAGGGTGGGGCCACAATGGGGGACCAAATTTTTACAAATGAATATATGGGAAAAAAATCTGCTGCTCAAGAACAACAAAGCCATTTGTAATATTGATATGAAAGCATCATCAGGTAGTTTAAAATTCAACACCCCCCTCCTTGTAAACTTTTCAATACTGTACTGATTTTTGCTTTTTTTCCTAGCCAATGTGCTCAGGTGAGTGATGTGGCCCATGGGCCTCTTGTTTTTATTAACTATAAGCCTATATTGACAACACTCGCAGGGATAATGCATCTAAGGATGTAAACTAACAGACTTGCTTCAGATGCTGGATCTGGCCTATTTTTTCTGGATGATTCACCAAGTTAAATTTTATGGAGTAATTTCATTCTAAAGTAACTATTATGAGCCCTATATTTACCAAACCTGCATCCTTGGGTGCTGGATCTAACTTATCTTTTCCATATGACCATATTAATGTTTTTGGAGCAGGTCCATTACCAAGAAAATGTAAGGCCTATCTAAATCTTACTTGCATTAATGATGCATCAAAGTATGCATACTTCCAGAGTTGCTTCAGGTGCTGGACTTGACCTACATTTTCTAGATGAGAGAACAGGTTCAAGATTTAGGAACAGGATCATTTCAGTGCAACTTTGACAAACCCTCTCTGGACCGATCTTACATGGATAGTGCATCAGTAGATGAATACTCTCAGACTTCCTTCAAATTCTGGATTTGTTAGATTCCAGATGAATGACAAGGTTAAATTTTGGAGCAGGCTCATTCAATGTAAATTTAAGCCCTATCTGGACCAAACTTTGAAAAATGATGTATCTGGGGACGCATGCCACCAGACTTGCTTGGGATGTTGGATATGACCTATATTTCTGGATGAATTACCAAGTTCAAGGTTTTGGAGCAGGTTCAGTCCAGTTTTATTTTAAGCCCTTCATAGAGCAAACTTGCATTGATGAATCATCTAGTGATGTATGTTTGTGAGTGATGAAAGGCAACCAGCCTTTCAAAGAACATTTTCAATAGTAAAAAGTTACTTCCACCCAATACGACATGCATGAGTGAGATGTATGAAAATTGAAAAATACTGTATCAATTAAGTCTTGCAATCACACCTGTTAGCATTATTTATACATAATTAAATCTGTCCCCTGCTTTCAATAAAAGTGGGGAATATAAATTTGGGTCTGTCTGTCTGCCTGTCTGTCATTCTGTTTGTGTAACACTTTCCTTTCCAGGCAATATCTCAAAAAGCCTTTGAGCTTTTGCAATGAAATTTATTTCACAACTCCCTATGGCCTAAGGAAGACCCCTAATGATTTTGAGGTCAAAGGTCTAGGGCATAAATTCATACATTCTGTCTGTGTGCGATTTTGAGGTCAAAAGGTCAAGATAAGAAATTCATACACTGCAAATAACATTTTCCAGATGATAACCATGATAACTTTAGGTCTCTTTGTGATTTCTTTAATGAAATATAACATTACATCTTCCTATGGCCTGAAGATTTTGAGATCAAGAGGTCAATGTCATGAATTTATACAATGTGTTTGTGTGTAACACTCTAGTTTTCAGATATCATGAAAAGCCTTTGCAGGGCTCTCATTGGCGACTAATTAAGTCACCATGGTGCTTAAAACTTTTGATTGGTGCCTAAAATTTCTCTATAAGTCACCAAATTGGCGACCATTTTAAATTGACTTGGTGATTGTCAAATTCTGGAACTATAACATTTTCATTTTTTTTCCTAAAGAGGAGAAAAGAAAATGTCTTGTGTTTTCTTTGTCACCTTGTTTGGTTTTATAGTCACGCATGTGTGAACAAAATTTCGCATCGCGCCAGTGCACACAGAGCTCAGGTAGACCAGATAAGACAATAGCAGTCCAGGTTATTGTTAGTTTCAGAAAATCGACAGTTGTGCAGCAAATTTTTTGAGCAAATTGGACAGGGAGATGTGGTCAATTGTTTGTCAATTGAATTCTCACTCATTAGAGATATCCTTTAGACATTAATGTTAAGTCATGTAATTGTACGAACGAACATGAAATGTAAATCATGTAAACAATTCTTGATGTTATTATATAGTTTTAAAAAATATTTCATGAGAACCAAGTTTCCTCAAAATAAAAGATCAATTAAAACTTTTTAAATATTTTTACCATTGTCACAAACCACGGCCAGTATGTATGATCCTCTCCAATTCTGGCCCGTAGAAGAGAGCTATATGCTGACTCCGTACAGTGGCTTGAGATGACGGGAGTTTTACATGCATGCTTAAGTGTAACCTTTTGGCATTTAGCTGGCTTATATTTCTTGTTGATTTTTTCTTTAATGATTGCAATCAACCCGCAACCCCCCCCCCCCCCCCCCCTTTTCCCATGATTAACCCAATTGGTCTGTATATTGACTAATATTATTTCGCCTCGGTCAATACTGATATTTTTCTGGTGAATAACAAACCATATTCACCAGTAAAAGAGTCCATAATTGTTTTATTATATAGTCCGGATTTGAATAAATAAGACATTAAAGGCTACATGACGATACCTTTTTCATTAACGAACCTCTGTCATAAAATAATAACAATTAAAAAAAACGCAGATTACAACTTATAACTTCCTTGATTTCATTTCGCTGTTTGTAAGACATCGCAATGTTTGGAAAAATAATCATCGATAGGCTTGCCTAACATTTTTCCTGCTCAGATACACAGCTGGCTCCGGCCGTTGTAACCATATTGTTTTCAACGTTGGGGTATTGATTGTGATGTCACAATGCCGCTGCACGCGCACTGACCCTCCGGTGAATACAGCTTCAAAACCAGTGGATATGTAGTGTTATGAACCATTTGTGTTTGTATAGATTATATAGGGGCTATTTGTAGACTATATAATAACAGCTTTTAAAGTTGGTGCTGAAGAAAAAATTGCCTGGCAACTAAAAATTTGATTGGCAACTAAATTTTTCTGATAAGGAGCTAGCTGGTGCCTAAATTTTAGAGGTTGCTTAGAGGCCTGCTTTGAGATTTTGCTGTGAAATTTAAACCACAAGTTCATATGGCCGAAACAAGACTCTTGTTGATTTTGAAAACCATACTTAATAACTTAATACAGTGGTGCCTCTTTTATCCGGACGCCTCCGTCCCCAATGAAATCCTCCGGATAAATGAATCGTCTGGATAAGTGAATCACTTCTCAAAAAACCCTCTCCAAGCATGTATATATATGCACATACTGGTATCAAATGTGAAGGCAAAGGGGAAAAAAAATCAATATTTTGGTTTATTGTATTTATTTTATAGTTTTAAAAGAAATATTAAATAAAGAAAATATATACTAAAATGTAATTTACATGATAAAAAAATGGATACGCAATTTTATGCTGTTCGAGACCTCCTTTTTTAACACAGGGAATTTTTAATCACCTTCTCTTTGGCATGTAACTTCATGTATTGAGCAAATTTTGATCTACTGTTGTTTTATTTCACCATATTTTATAATTATTGAAGCTCATATAGATATAATATGACATAACTGTTCAGCATCATCATTGAAAATGTTCAAATGTAAACTAACCCTGTATATTCATTACACAGGGCTACTATAGTAACTGAACACTGAAAGCTAACTCAAACACGCGCAATCAGTGAAAGTATTGTAAAGATTCAAATTAAACACAAGCCATCTTAATGATTATCAATATTTTTTTTTCTACAGTCTCTAAGTTTAAATTTTGATTTAAAATAATACCTTGAAAAATGTAATAAACTTCTATACCTAACGCCAGTTTTATATTTCTTTTCTAAAGTAATGTACATTTATAGACGGTAGTACATTAAATAGAAAGGTATTTTCTTCAATTATGTCCTTTTTAAACTGTCTTGTGATAAAAAAGCGTTTCAAATACATTTACATTTTTATAGAAATGGAAAATCATATTTTAAACTCATAATCAACATGATCAAGGCCATTATGAAATCGCTCATAATTTATTGTTCATTTTATTTATAACTCTCCAAAATTCTCATGAATTTACAGATATATATATATATATGTACGGTAAGCAATATGATTTTGAACGAATTCTAAATTCTTTGAGCTGCATAATAGACATGTGATTTAATTGGGGTAAATACACACTAATTTTAGATGCTATTGTTTGTAGGTCACAGGTAACTCCTTCAAACTGACTGCTTGGCCCATGTTTTTACAACAAGTTAACATTACTGCAAGATGAGTGTGAAAAAGTCGTTTCTTGAAAAACTACCGTCCGGATAAACGAGTCATTTTTAAGTGAACTATTACGTTTTGTAGTAGAAATCGACTGTTCAATGCGGAACATGAATTTCCAGATTAATGAGACAGAATAACATGGAAAAAATCCGTTCCCAAAAAATATCGTCCGGAAGGTGAAGCGTTCAGATAAACGGCATCCGGATAAACATGGTGCCACTGTACTAAATGCTCAAACTTGAGTTTGATACATATAAGGGGGTTTCATTTATCATTTATTTGTGAGGAAGAAAATTGTGCTTCAGGTGACCAGAGTGCCTCTTATGATAGTTCTGATAGCAATTCTTAAAGTCAGAAGCAAGCATTCATGCTGCAGCCATGCACTTTTTTTGTTTGTTGACCGACATTAAGAAATCGTACGAAATCATAAGAAAAGTTTGCACTTTATATATACCATGTTAAGGCACAAGTTACTTGAATAGCCAATCAGATAATATATAAGAACAAAACAATCAATGCCTGCAGATATAAAATGGGTATTTTTCTTTTTGCTCAGTATAAATTGAGACTTACAATTATCAGTCTACTAATGAATCATTATGTAATTCTTTCATTATGTGGTGTTACTTTGGTTTCAATAACAGATTTGTATTTTCATTACAGCAGAACTTTTGATGTCTTGGACCATATTACATCTGTCTAACTAGAAAGTGCAGCAACTTCATGGATTCTACAGAGACTAAAGAGAGGGTGTTTATCTGCGAGTCACAACATGGTAAACAAATCTCCAGCTCTCTAGAGAAGCATACATTCCAGGCAAACAACATGATTTCCACTTCTGAGGCCCGAACTACTACAGACGGGGTACCACCAAATGTGTTACCTCAGGGAATGCTTCCATCTGTCCCTTCAGAACAATATCACTCTCATGTGACAGCAAAGTACAACAGAGGGAGTAACAAAAGCCAGTCATCCAAAAACAGCTCTATCTCCAGAATGCAGCAGGACAGCAGTGGCCAGCAGACATTCCTGCACCAGACAGACAGTGGGTATTTTAATGGGGAAAGATACAGCACTAAGGGAAAGGAGATAGCTACTGCCCAGATCATTGGAGGAGAAACGGTACATGTGTCTGGTATGTCATGTACTTAAGCTTTGATAATATAATCATGTGACCTAGCACCGGTACGAGAAATTCTCAGCCTCACAAAATAAAGTTTTATAGACAATTTCTTACATAAATTTATTCTTCCAACTGTATGAACTACAAGCACATGATTTGAACAAAGGTATATCTGCACTCTGTATTTATTATGAAATAGCTTTCACATAACTGTGTTTAATCACTTGAGCCAATTAAAGGCTTATGTGACCTTTTCGTTTCAAAGAATAATTGGGTTTGTCTGTTACTTTGGTCAATTCTTGCAAGATCTTACCTTGAATATAGCCACTGCATTGAGTGAATTATAGTCAATGTACTTAACCCTAATTGTATTTAAAAATTAATCAGACAAGGTACTCTGTTAACTTTCTATTTCTCCAAAATTTCAGTTGAACTTGGCAAGAAGCATCCTTGCATGGGTAAAGCTGATTCAATTTTCTTCAAATGAAGGCTGGTTAGGGTCATTTATAAATCCTAGAATTTTTATCCTAGACCAGGAAAGAAAAGCTTCTGTTAAAGCTCACATCAGCTGAAAGCTCAAGTGAGCTTGTCTGATGGAAAAGTGTCTGTTAAGGTGTCTGAATTGTGTTATATGTTGTCTGTAAGCTTTTCACATTCTTGACCTCTCCTCAAGAACTGCTAGGCCAATTTCAACCAAACACAGAGTATTTTGGGGAGAAGGGAATTCATGTTTAATCAACTGAAGAGCCATCTCCTCCTTTAAGGAGAGATTATTATTAGTGGACTTTTGCAAGAAGCACAGACTTTTACAGTCAACGACTTACTTTGACAACCTACCTTATGCAGGGTTCAACACTAACGTTAGTCCATTAGTCTCAGACTAATACATTTTCATTCGGACTAATGAAATCTGTGCCTAATTAGTCCGAACGGATCAATCAAAATTTCTAGAAAACAATATGAATAAAATACCAATGTCCAATTCTCAAAAACTTTTACTGGAAAACCCCCCATGTATTTTTAGCTTTCTAACTTAGGTAATTCTGAGTCCATTCAATGCTTAATTTTATGAATAATTAATATGAAGTAAACCTTTTAGCGATCATGATTTAGTATGACACATGAAAGAAAGATGTTGGACGTTCTGGGTGTAATATAGAGGAAAAGAAAAAGATCAGGAATACATTCGTACTTCCTGATTGCGAGATTTCAACGAATCTGTGGAATAAAACACTTCATGTAAATGCTTTGTTTAATTCAAAAAGTATAAAAAGTACATTGTCATGTTTATTTTTTAAATTAGTCATTTAATATATAAAACATTGATGTTTCCCTACTTTTTGACGGACTGGTAAAATCGCATACGGACTAGTAAAAGTAAAGAAGAATTGATAATAGATAAGAAAACCTTAATAGTGGCTATTGGTTTGGTGTTTGGAGCACTTACATGATTAACTGGCATGCAATCAATGCAACAGATGATGGGAGGCAGAATTAGATAGTTTAAATTATTTATTCGTGAGGGTTAGTATCTCCTTTCAATCTCATTTTCTGGAGGAATCAAATAAGGAAGAAAAAACATTCCGGAAGGAAAACTAAGCAAGAGTTGGTCAATGTTGAAAGGGAGGGGATTGAGGGTAGGGTTGTTGCCGTTCCCTTCCAACGTAATATGTGCTTTGAAATGGCCCATTATTATCGTTTAATCAACTGTTAAGTTTAATATTTATATCGCAAAAGAGCTTCTATAAATTATCCTTAGGCTAGTGTAAAAGTAAGCCATTGATTGTAAAAGTCAGTGCTTCTCACAAAAGTCCAATAAGAATTCATGAACATTTGGTGGCATTTGTTTAAAAAAAATGCTCAAGAATAAAAAGATGAGACCTATGTGAAAGCTTCATTAGGCAATTAAAAAAATCCTAGATTCTCATTCCCGCCTGCTTGACTTTTAGCTCACCTGAGCCGAAGGCTGGGCTCAAGTGAGCTTTTCTAATCAAAATTTGTCCGTTGTCTGTCATTGTTGTCGTTAACTTTTCACAATTTCATCTTCTTCTCCAGAACCACTGGGCCAATTTCAACCAAACTTGCCACAAAGTATCCTAGGGTAAAGGGGATTTAAGTTTGTTCAAATGAAGGGCCATGCCTTCTTCCTAGGGGAGATAATTATGAAATAGTGAAAAATTTATGGCATCTTTTAAAAATCTCCTTCTCATATCCACTGGACCAGGAAAGATGAAACTGATGTGGAAGCATCCTCAGGTAGTGTAAGTTCAAATTTGTTCAGATCATGACCTCCAGGGGTAGGGTGGGGCCACAGTGAGACTTCTTCTTTGGAACAGCAAAGTTGTGATTGGTCAAATTTATATGGAAGCATCCTCAGGTAGTGTAGATTCAAGTTTGTTCAAATCATGACCCTGGGAAGTAGGCAGTAAGTAAGTTTTACATGGCAATACATAGAAAATATCTTTAAAAATCTTCTTCTCAAGAACAGAAAGTCATGATGACTCATATTAAAAAATATAGAAAATAGAAAAATAAAAAATATAGAAGCATCCTCAGGTAGTGTAGATTCAAGTTTGTTTAAATCATGACCCCTGGGGGGTAGGGAAGGGACACAACAGAGAATCAAATTTATACATAGAATTATATAAGAAAGATCATTAAATATTGATTTCTCAGGAACAGTAAAGCCATGCAAGTTACATTAATACAGAAGCATCCTCAGGTACTGTAGATTCAAGAGTTCAAATCAATCAATGACCCAGGGGGTAGGAAGGGGCCACAATAGAAGACAAAACTTACAGGAAAATAATCTTTAAAAATCTTCTAAAGCTTTGGTTAGTCAAAGAAATATGGAAGCATACTCAGTTAGTGTAGGTTCAAGTTTGAAAAATCATACCCCCCCTTTTTAAAAAGGTTGGGACTACTTATATATTTAAACTTTTCAATACTGATTTCTTCTTTTTCCTAGCCAAAGTGCTTATGTGAGCGCTTTGTCCCATGTGCCTCTTGCTGGTATTTATAAGAGAGACAAAATTTTCAAATATTTTAGTCACTGCTTTGTAATTTTTTAAATAATACTTATATATGCAAGACAGAAATTTTTTGTAAGGAGACAGACACATGTAATAACGTGAAAATAGAGTTCTCAAAAAAATGAAAAATTTATCTTCAGTATTTGTGTTAACTACAGTGTTTATTCTGAGTATTCATGTCATGACAATTTTTTCAATTATTATAGAGCATTCCTGTTCAATTTTAGGAAATGGCTACCACAGACAGAGAGTGCATCAGGTGGAGATGATTAACGAAGGGGACAAGTGCTCCTGTTGTCCCTATGGTTACCATGTGGACTTAGATTTTGTTACGTACTGTGAAAATTTGGCTGATGGATCATATCTGACAAAATTAAAAAGAATTCAGAGAGAGAAACGCAAGCTAAGGAAGTCCATGGAGTTCTTCTTACAGCAGCAAGAGAATGAAGAACAATCAAGTCCCCCACCAGATCTTGTACAAAATATCAATGTGCAGGCAACTGCATTCCTGAAAAGCATTGAATACAAGGACTCGGCTACTAACAAAGTGTTAGATGAAATAGATTCCTCAGTAGATCAAACTTTACATTCCATAGATTCTATGATTTATTCCACAGAAGCACATTCCCAGTTAATTAACTGTAACGATGAAACAAGTTCCTCAACCAATCAACACTTCAACACGTTCCCAGTGTCCAATACCTATAGGGCTCAAAATGTTGAGGATGAAATGACCTTTCAGAATTACTCCCTGGGAAGGTCAGATTCTAAAGAGTCCCTGTCTTCCATTGGTACAATGGCCAGTGATACATACAATCTGGTGCCTGTTAAAGTTACTGGTTTTGCCCAAATGAGTGATGGTAAAAGCTCCTCGGAAAAAATTTCCACAGTAACTCACATCACAACAGAGGAGCTAGAGTATACAATGGCCACGCATCTTCCTTCAGAGGAATCTTCTATGACAAGTATCAGTAAGTCCTCCATTGAAAGCATCAGAAAAACCATGGAGAGCAGTCTTCAGAGGATAAAAGAGTTGGAAGAACAGGTGAAGGCCATACCAGTGCTGCAAGTCCGTATATCTGTGCTGAAGGAAGAAAAGAGGCTTCTTATGCTTCAACAAAAGGCTAGGAATCAAAAACTGAATACAAGAACAATTGGAGTTGGAGATAACCATTTGATTCCACCACCCAGTCCAAAATCACCACAACTTAATGCCTCCAAACCAAAAGTCAAGAGTGTAGGAGTAGGAGATCATAGTATCACTAAAGTTTATCTACTGCAGCCAGATCTATCCCCATCATGCACAATTTCTGATGAGAGAATCTTTAGTGAGACAAATTTTATAGAACAGGGTCATTACCAAGGAGTGTTTGCTCCATTTGCTAAACAGCCATCTAAACCTTCAACCAGAACAGTGGGCATTGGTGATGGCAGTGTGTTTGAAGATGGTTTAAAAATCCATGAAAAAGAATTGAGAACAGTCATTATTGGGAAAGAAAGTGTGGGGAGGAGAAATGTTGGAGTAGATTGTCGTGTACCTACTAGAGATGTTGGTATGACCTTCTCACTAGATGATGAAAAACCAACAACAAGGTCTGTCGGCGTCAATGTGGACTCGGAAGCATGGCTAACCTCCATAAATATTAAAGCAGCAGAGGTAAGAAAGGCAATGCAGGAAGCTCTACATAGAAGTGTAAGAACAGTTGGAGTAAGTTGTGATTTAAAATCAGAAAAAGTAGACACTGGAGTTCAGTACACTTACCAGTATCTCAGGTCCATTGGAGTAGGAGACAGTCCTGTAGAAAAACCTCAGATTCCAACACGCTCCATTGGAGTTGATGCCCAATGTTTGATGATGTCCAAGGCAGTGAACACAGATTATGGATGGAAGGTAGATTCTGGAACTAATACTGTAAGGTTCTTCACAGATAATAAAGCAGTCCAGTATGAAAAAAATTACCAAGGAACAAAGAGCACTATGACTGAAGGTATGAGAACTTACCATGATACCACACAAACTGAGCACCGCATGTTTCTGGCCCTGGACATGGTCAGAAACACTGGCAGTAATACAGATGAGAAGAAAAAGAAAACTGTATCCTGTAGTACAGATATCTGTGAGCTTACAAACTCAGACTATGGATTTTACATCACCTACCGGGGTCGCAATGTAAATTCTTATGATGCAGGCTGTAACACTGAGAAAAAGAAGATGTGCACCATTGGAGTTGGAGATGGAAAGGTAGAGTTTGAGGATGAACCAACGATGGAAGAGACAACAGAAGAGGTAACTTATGTTACCCAGACTCTCATAGAGTCAGTACAAAAGAACTTAGAACAGAGCAAACAAATCACTCATACATATGACCTTTCAGCAGGAACAGACAAAAGTTCTCTGACAAAGGCATTGCTGGAGAAAGGGGTGGTAGAACTTCCTCAGTCCTCTGTTATCATTCAAGAAAAAACTTCAAAAAGCTCATCAGATGTTAAAACTGAGGAAACTCCTCGGTCATTAGGATCCATGTTTGAAGATGGTGCTATGAGTTCTGAAAGACATGAGTCAAGAACAATACATTCCAGTGCCAGATATGGGACAATGACTGATGATGCACTCTGTAGCTTGGGAAACAGACGTGATGCTGCCCTTTACTTTAATGAAGGTAGTTCAGACATGTCAAGATTTGATGTAAGTGAGAGGTTAGTTGATCAAAGAAGCAGTGGAGAGTCTGCAGATCAGTCAGGACTAGAGTCTGTTGTGGAAAAAAAAATTACTAGTAAGGGGGGAAATACATATATTACAACAATTACCACAAAGAAAAGTGCAGACGGGCTGGACAAGACTATGTCGGAGAGGGGAGAGAGTTCTAGGATGTTTACTGGGAGAACTTCAAATCAATCTGACAATGCCTCTGCTAGCCAGGTGTACACAGTCTCTCAGTCTACTGCTCCTTACATTGATGACCATTCAGAATCTGTGACTAGCAGTTTTATCAGGGAGCAGACAAGTAAAAGCCAGAATGATGACTCTCATATGGCTTCATCTGAGGATGTATCTTCTGGTGTTGAGACCAGTAATGAGGATCAGGAGGAGATTCATGTTATAACAGAGACTTACTCTCTGAGGGATATTGGGGGACTCAGCTACTATGAAAAGTACATCAAGCCTGCTGGTATGAAAACAGAGACTGATGCTGCTTGCAGACAAAACAGTTCAGATCAGATTTCTTTCGATAGAACAAACACCAGATCTCTCAAGTCCTGCATAAAGAAAAACAAGTCCGATAATGGGATAAAAAGAGGAATTACTTTTGCTGAAACAGTAACAGGAGGGTAAGTTAGGCATTATTTGTTGCATTATAATTGTTAGAACCACAGAGCTCAATTACATCTTACCGGATAGCACTAACAGATGACAGAATGCAGTTTGTTAGTAATGAAAATTGTCAAGGCATAAAGCCTATAAAAAGCTAAAACCATTTGTTAAACAGATATATATACCATACAAGCAGTGATCATCTAACCATTTCAATAACAAATGAGTGTTTTGTAAAAGAATTTGATATGCTTTAGAAACAGATTTCAAGTATATAAGACTAATAGTTGTGCGGCAGAATAGTCAAAAACGGGAGAAGTGCATGCATTCTATATGAAATGCATACACACTTTTAATGGACCTACTGTACTCTTAAGTTTAATCTGTTGGTGTCCAGTCCAAATTTTGACCATGCTTAAAATTGACCTCATTATATGCAGATTCTATTTAGGATTTTACTATAACCAGCATTTTTTAGCTCAATTGAGTTTTTCTGATCACCTGTTGTCTGTCGTCCGTCCGTCCGTCTGTTCAGCCGTCTGTGAACTTTTCACATTTTCAACTTCTTCTCAAGAACCACTGGGCCAATTTAAACCAAACTTGGTTCAAAGCATTCTTGGGTGAAGAGGAGTTTAAATTGTTAAAATGAAGGGTCAAGTTCCCTTCAAAGGGGAGATAATCAAGAAAATACAAAAATTGGGCGGGGTCATTAAAAAATCTTCTTCTCAAGAACCACTGGCCCAAAAAAGCTGAAACTTATGTGGAAATATCCTTTGGTAGTGTAGATTCTAAATTGTTCAAATCATGACCCCCGGGGGTAGGGCGGGGCCACAATAGGGAATCCAGGTTTTACATTGATATATCTGGTAAAAATCTTTTAAAGATATTCTTCTCTAGAACTACTGGGCCAGAAAAGCTGAAACTTATGTGGAAGCACCCTGGGGTAGTGTAGATTCTAAATTGTTCAAATCATGACCCTGGGGGTAGGGGGGGGGCACAATAGGGAATCCAGGTTTTACATTGATATATCTAGTAAAAATCTTTAAAAATATTCTTCTCAAGAACCACTACAGAAAAGCTGAAACTTGTGTTGAAGCATCCTTGGGTAGTGTAGATTCTAAATTGTTCAAATCATGACCACTGGGGGGTAGGGCGGGGCCACAATAAGTACTACAAGGGGGGGGGGGGGAGAAATCAGGTGAAAAACAGCAAGGCCAAAGTTACTCAGGTGAGCGTTGTGGCCCATGGGCCTCTTGTTAAAAGGATATATTATAAAATTAATTTAGGACTCTGAAATTGTCTTCTTGTAAGCAGTACCTCATTGTATCCAATCTTGCAATACCAGATGGACAATATATGTGAACAAAGACAAAAGGATTCATACATCAGTTTGATGTTTTTTAGTGCTATCCTATAAGGTATGATTGAGCACATAGGTTGTTTTATTATATGATTGGCTTAGATCCAGCATTGTAGAAAAAATACTACGCTATATTCACCTGCACGTGACCTTCCAGGTGAATATAAGGATTTATTTTTCTCCAAATAAGACTAAAAGTAGTTTGGGAAATTCCAAATTGATACAAATAATTTTGGAAAGTTATTTCACTTGCACCTGACTTCCACTCGTATGAACATAACGTTAAGGTAAATAGAATCTTGGGTGAGGGGTTGGTGGAGCTGTTGCAGGGGACATGCCTCTCTCCCCACCTTTTTTTGAGAAAGTAAATTTTTTAATTTAAATTTTACGGATAAAAATGTTCAATGAAAGCCACCCTCCCCTGTTCATGGACCTTAACATCCCACTAAATAAAATTTTGATTCAGGAAAATCCTCCTCTTTTTATTGGGGGGGGGGGGGCAGTTAAAGATTTTTTTCAGGTAAGTTGTCAATTTTTTCCCCCCTTATATTGCCCCTCCCCCCCCCCTTTTTCAAAATCAAGCATATATATGTGCCTGACATTTATTTTTTCAACATTGCACGTAAAATAGAATTAAAATTGCAAATCAATACAACTGGTTATGTTTATTTTAACCCTGTCTCTCTCATTATAGACCCACAATAATTTGTTCAAAATTTTTCATGAGATATAGAAGAAACAAGAATTATTTGATAATCTTTTGAAGAACAGCAGGACCAAGGTACTTCAAGAGTGTTGTGGTCCATGGGCCTCTTGTCTATATTCTGTGTTGGGAATGCTTTGGTTTGTGCATGCTTGGTTGCTGATATTAATTCATGCACTTTCTTGCCTTATTCTGAGTAGTTACACTTCTAGCAGTAATGGTGAAGAGAGTTCAGAGAATGCTTCAGATTCTGAATCAACCACGAGTTACGAGGAGGGTTCCTATGATGGAAGAGAGGGCAGCATTGTGTATCAGTGTAAAGATGACGTTACAATAGCATCTGGGGCTCCTGGTGCAGTGATGTTTGATCAGAATATAAGGGAAATGTAGGTGACTTATAGCATCTCAATGTGCATGTTAAGAGAAAAATAGCATTTATTACATTTTCAACAGTGAAATACTTAAGGAATAACTGTCTAGTTTTTTGATTTTATGAAGTGATCAAGCAATTGACTTGCGTGATAATTTGCATAAATGTTTATGCATAAAATTATCAAGCAAGCTAATTGCTTCCTCATCATCATAAAAGCAAAAAAAAAAACTGACAGTTATTCCTTATATTTACATGAATCCATAAATTCATGTGCTTGATTGTAGCCTCTCCCACTACTCTCCCGCTCAGCAATTTTTTTTTTAACCACACCTTGTCAGCAAATGCAATTTATCATTAAGTCAAATGCTGACTGACGTTTTTCATACTTATTGTTAGGCCATTAGTTACACACTGAATTGTTGACAGATTTTTCTGTTATTTCCCAATCATGACAAGGAGCACACGGCGGTTGTGACCAGTTGGCAGGGGATGCTCACTCCTCCATGGCATCTGATCCCACCTCTGATGTTTTAGAGGTCCGTGTTTGCTCTGCTCCAAAATTTGTATTGTTAAATGGACTTTTGAGCTTGAGTACTGTTCGTTATCTCCATATATTTCACCTTTTGATGAACTAAAAGTTTTATGAAGAAATCAGTTTTTTCTATTATTTGTAGTTTTATCTCGGACAAAGAAATTTTATATGTAAACATTTCAATTTATTCATTAAATAAAAGTTTCATTTTTGCAAGTGATTTATTCATTAGGTAAAAGTTTCATTTTTGCAAGTGATGTACAGTGAAAATATCAAAAATATTTTCTTTGTAAAAAATTAGCAACAAAACACTTGATTTTCCTTCTCTTTACAAAGTGTTAAAAAGAAAATATCCCTATAGGTAGCAAGAGTAAATACTGATATGGACTAAAACTGCAGAAGTGTCTCCAAATTGTAAATAAATATTCTTCAGTCTCACAACCACTCAGCTATGACTTCAGAGCCCATGACTACATTAGTGAAAAGATGGGGGCAAATGGAATTATAAAAACAAAGAAAATGTAATAAACAGAAAATTTATTTTGTATAGTTAGATATGAAACTTATTTCAGTCATGAGATAGGATTTTTAAATATTTTAAACACAATCTATATTTGAAAATATGAAAAAATAATGTCCAATACGAAATAAATTTCATATCAAAATACAAATATTTAAGTACAAAAACATTTATTTTGAAAGTAAATAGTATAATTTTTATTCTATGAATGGGATGGTGATGGTAGTAAAAAAATATGAAATATTTATGAATACTGTACAGCAGGTTAAAATCGCGGTTGGAAAAGATTGTGATTTGTTCAATTTGCAGCAAATCACGGTCGTTTGAATTTGCGGAAAGAAAAAATTCTACAATTTTTTTTTTCAGCACTACAGGTATTTTCTGTACTGCAAGTTTCAGCACTGCAAGTATTTTCCTTGCGTATTGTGTCGATTCTGAACCTGATTAAATAGAACAAAACACCATACTTAGCCCAATTAGAAGTCAAAATGTAAGATTTACAATGTTATATATTCAGATAAATTTTCTTTTTTCTTCTCTCTTTCCTTTGTTTTTTTTTCTTTCTTTTTAATAAATATTTTTGAAAAACAGTAGTGATTTCTTCAAGTGATTTTAAGTCATATTGAAACTTATTATATGCAACATTCATGTAAAATAAAGAAGCCCTTTGGCAGGTGTTCGTTCACAGAGATGTTTGAGTAGAGTACAGAGTAGTGTTTACTGCAGTATATTTGAATCCCCCTGAATCAAAATCAGTTGTCAGTACTGATAGTCAAAATGTTGAACTGTTATTAAAATTGAATTAATGTGTAACAGTGTTGTCTTCACTACGTTAGTGCCTCGATAAAAGATAATATGACTGAGTGATAGGCATGGATGAAATCTAACAATACATGTTTTATAGGTAATTACATCGCACATTTACTGGGTGGCAGAATTAAATGTTAGATATAGATGTTCATTTATCAAATAATCTTGAAAAACACCAACACCTTCATATTAGTGATTGATCCGTACGCCCACATAATTAGGAAGACAGTCTATGGTACAGCAATCACTGTTTTTATGTGTGCAAGGAAACACAGAGTTAACAAATCTATAATCACAGATAACGGTAATATTTCAATTTATCCTAATCGATTTTTTAAGAATTATTCACTGTATATTGAATTCGCGGAATTTTTATTTCCACATATATAGTGAATATTAACTCTGTGAGTTAACTTCCTGCTGTACAGTATAAGTTGAACATAAATATCTAATTAATGATAGAGATGGAATCTGATTGCTGTAAAAGCACAAAATTTTGGGTGATGGTTGTTGTTCGAAGTGAGTTGATATACTGGAATCATCTTGTCTGCTTTTGTCCATCTGAGGAGGATAATTACAGCTATGTACTTGGAAAGTTTCATTGACCAATATGAGTTAAAAGTAAGTGCTGTGCATCAAATTTAAGGACAGATGCAGTGTAGTTTGAACTTTATTCAATTTGTCTTTTTCCCTGGAGTTGAAGAGTTTCAATACTTGAAGGGCCTGTGTGCTACTCTTTTTATTGTCTGTATATGGTGCTGTACACATCTAAAACAAATTTGGATGAAAAAATGTCTAGAATATATGTTCAGTAATTTTTGTATATTTTTCTTTGAATAATACAAAATTTTTCATCATTTGATATCTATTCAAAACCCCTGGTAATCCATGCTGATTTTTTGTCTATGGACATCTAATTAGTAATATAATTTTAAATTAAGAATATCTTGAAAAATTATCAGTAGGTAAGGTATGTTGCTTATGCCCTAAAGTTGCATTCACATGGAGGATGTAATGCAAATTAGTTTAAATCAAATGAATCAAATTACTCCATCTGAAAGTTAAGCAAACTAAGCTAACTTGAATCAAATTTAGACATAAAATAGCAAATTCAAATCACATTCAACTTGTCAAGGTCAGCTAAGGTCAGCTATAACTACAGTAACTGTTACTATTTTTAGGTCTCCTTAATCACTTAGTGACCTATAGGGCCGTGTATTGAGCAAAAATATTGATACGATACAATATGATATTTCATAATGCGATATGTGATATATTGGATTCTTTAACAAGTCTATCAAAAAAGTCTTATAAATCATTTAATGCATGAATTTTATAAAAACTAATTGTTTTACAACTCATTTCAAAGTTCTTGTCTCACTTTCATTACAAATTATTCTTCAAATTCAAACTTTTTATGACTGTAAAATCAACATGTTAAATAAAGTTGTCTGTGTATTTTGTAATAATTATCTAAGATGTGCTACCTCCTTAATGATTATATCATTATTTATCAATTTTAATTCAAAACAGTTAAATATAATCTCTGGTGATTGAAATTCCCAACTTTTTCACAGAATTATATGAAAAACTGCATGCCTGATACGTATTGATAGTGATACAATACAATCCTGATTTGAATTGATATATTGATACAGCCTTAGTAACCTATTGCAATCTGTTTTTGTCCACCTCATGTGTCACCAGTTGACATTTAAAATTTAAACATTTTCATCCCCATTGGGCCTGAGGAATGGGACCAAAACCATCTAAATTATGACTATTCTTCAAAAATCTTCTTTCATTCCTGGACATCAAACAATCAAACTGTTATATATTACAATGAGCATTAAGCCCTCCACCAAAATTGTGTAATTTATGATCCCCAGGTCAGGGGTTCTGGTTTTTGGACCAGGCTCTATTGATGTTGTTGTGAAAATTATTAATAACTATTCTCTGTAACTACTTAACTTCTTTGCCATGCATGGTCACCAAATTTGATGAAACTTTGCCCATACTACAACTTGACACCAGAAACATTATATCAAATAAAATTTGGTTGCTGTGTGTCTTGGTTGCCATGGTAACAGCAGGAAAAGTTTGAAAAATTGACATTTTCAGCTACTTTGATTTTTTATTAAGTATTAATAAAGACAAGGAAAATCTCACAAAAACATGACACCTTTTTGTAGAGGTGGGACGATATACTGATACTTTAGATACATACCTATATTTCCTGCTAAGATACAGTTTACGAAACATGCACTGAAATATCAGTAGAAAACGATACATGAACGACTTATCAACAAATTGAAATGAAAGTAAAAAATTGTGACTTGTAAACAAAGCAAGAAGTGACAGATATTGAAAACGCAGCTTGCCTAATAAGTTGTACAGATAGAAACTTTTTAGCTGTAAAAGTATTCTTTGCACAGCTGGGGATATTCACTATTGTTATTTATTAGTGTCCTCTGTGTATTCTCTTAAGAAAAGGGAACTAATTAACCATTCCTCTTCTGTAAAGAGAATACCCACAGGGCAACTCTGAACAAAGTGGATTCTAAAATTTTCATTGAAAGAATTTGATTTTTGAACCAATAATGGATCAGTTGTTTGTTAACCAATCTGTTTATAAACATCTAGCAATATGTGCATGCAATATTGTTTTTGATGAATTTTTAGTCAAAGATGAACCACCAGTAATAATTTCACAGCACATTTGATTTGATATAAAATATTTTGTTGATTTATTGTCAAGACAAGTAAAACAATTTTATTATTTTTAGCTCTTCTGAGTTAAAGGCTCAAAGAGCTAATGCTATGGCCATTTGTGCGGTGTGTGAAACTTTTTAGAATAAGGGCCATAACTCAAGAACCCCTCGGCCAATTATTGTCAAATTTGTCACAGGGTATTCTTGGCCCAAGGGCTCTTGTTTATACTAAAACTAGGGTTGTGAGCCTTAAACAAGGGGAGATAATTAGGAAAATAGAAACAAAAGTACTGGTTGCTAAAAAATCTTCTTCTCAAGAACCACTGGGCAGATTATCACCAAAGTTACACAAAAGGATGAGGATATGTTGCAGATTAAAAACTGTTCAAGGCATCACCCTGGGGCAAAGGGCGTGGTCTCAAGGTCACTTCAAAGTTGAC